AAGCTTGTAAACACACCCCAAGGGGGGGGGCTCTCAAACACTTCTCTAGAGCTCCCTTCCTTTCTTCCTCAAAGTTCTCTTAGTTTCCTTGATGTTTTCTTAGTTGTAATTTATTTTTCTTTGTTATGTAAATTCTTTTCTTAAGTTTTCAAGTTGAATTAGTTTCCATGTTTCAATTATGGTTTTTGTTCTTATTCATTATGCTTATAAGTTAATATGCTAGTTTGAATGATTGATGACCATTTAGGCTTGCATGTTAGCTATCTTGGTTTGAATTGAGAGTATACACCATGCTTTAATTCGAATTGAACTATGAATAGGAAGAGTATGTATGGACATTCGACAACAGGGATTAGATACATGCTTGGTTGTTTAAATTGTTCTTCTATGCTTAATGGGTTCCTAATGCTTAATTTTAGGTTAGACAACAAATGATCAAATTAGGGAATTAGGAACACAAGGTTATGACCACACACCATGGCTTAATCATACTTTAGCTAGAATCAATCCATTAATCTAAATTGAACTTGGGAACTTATTTGCTTGAGTTACTTATTTCTTTCTTCCTTGTTTTATGTTCTTTGTTTTTGTTTCTATTTTGTGTAGGGAAACTAAATTGGATCATTCAATCACCAATCCCTGTGGAATCGACCTCGCACTTACATATGCTATACTACCAACGGTTCGTGCACTTGCGAGTATCACAAGTTGAGGATGCAGCTGAATCCATTTTGGTGCAGCTGTATCGACACAACAATACCCGAAAAAGGAAAAAAGGAAACCCTCTTCACATTTATGTTTCAAGATTTGGTTTCACACCGCCATTGGGTTCTTTTTAGTTGTTTATATAGACACAACTTAATCAAAACATTCATGGCCATGCATATTGCATAGTTATATCAATTGGGATTATTTAGTAGAGCAACACAAATACTTGAATTATGGTAGAGTTCCATGGAGAAGTTGATCCTCTAGGCCTCGGAGTGCTGGCAGAAGATGAAGAAGAAGCTGAAGGCATCAGCTATGGTGATCTCAAGAAGTGAATGTGGAAAGATCATATGCTGTTACAAAAGCTCAAGGAGGATCGAAAAATCATCGAAGAAGAAGAAGCCGAGACCTTAGCAAAACAAGAGGCGTCTCGTCGGAAGAAAATGGCAAGAGCCCAAGATTCAATACTCAAGTACATGGTGAAAATCATGGAGGTTTGCAAAGGAAAGGGCTTTGTGTATGGGATTGTGCCTGAGAAGGGGAAGCCAGTGACAGGGTCCTTTGATAGCTTGAGAGAGTGGTGGAAGGACAAAGTGAGATTTAACCGAAATGCCCCAACTGCCATAGCTGAGTACTTGCCAGCTTTGATTTTTTAGCAAGGTGAATTGGACCAGGGCTCTTATGCTCATCTTCTTCCTGAACTGCAAGACACCACTTTGGGGTCTCTGCTTTCTGCTTTGATGTAGCTGTTAGAGTTTTGTGAGGAACAGATGAAGAAAGCAAAAAATACAGAGAGAATCAAATCGTGAGGAAGTTTTTCATTTCCTTGCTCTGATAAATTGAGCAAGCTCAGCATGAGCTATATGACCGTTAGAGAGAATAGATGGATACTCTTACATCACTTTGTATCATAGCCCTTCATCTAAAACTGCTCTCTAAAAACATTACACGTGGCTTGTACAGCCTTTCACTACTAAAGCCTAACACTTGCCATTTTTAGTGACTAAGTGAATACACCATTAGCTAAATAGGCTTAATTACATTTTCTATCAGGTCACTACTTACATTTCCACACTCCCCTTTAAGTTGTGAGCTAATTTCACACCAAGCTTCTCTCTAAGATAGCAGAAAAGATCTTTGGCCAAAGCCTTTGTAAAAATGTCTGCTAGCTGCTCATTTGTAGGACAATAGATTAAGTCCACAATTCCTTCTTGCAAAGCATCTTTGATAAAATTGTACCTCCGATCAATATGCTTGGTTTTCTGATGGAACACAGGGTTCTTTGTAATGGCAATAGCTGAGATGTTATCACAGTGTAGTGGTGTGGCCTCTGTTTGAAATTCTTCGAAATCTTCCAATACAAATCTCAACCAAATAGCTTGTGTTGTTACTTCAGAGGCACTAATGTATTCTACTTCTGCAGTAGACAGTGCAACACAGTTCTGTTTGACTGAGGCCCAAGCAAACACTCCACTACCAAAAGAAAAAGCATATCCAGAAGTGCTCTTGCTATCATCCACTGAACCACTCCAATCACTGTCACAATAACCAATTAAAACTGCCTCTTTTCCCTTCAAATACTCCAGACCATAGTCAAGTGTTCCTTTCACATATCTAAGAACTCGTTTTGCTGTTCCAAGATGTTTGTTAGTGGGACAATTCATAAACCTTGCAAGCAAACCAGCTGCAAACATAATGTCAGGTCTTGTAGCTATGAGATACAGCATACTTCCAACAATCTTCCTATATTGCTCCTCATTTGTTGAACCACTCCCATCATCCTTACTTAATTTTTCAATTGTAACAAGTGGGATAGACACGGGTTTACACTCACTCAGGCTGAATCTGCTTAACAGAGTTGATGCATACTTTCTTTGATGAAGGAACCTATTTTCCCTTCACATACTCCAGACCATAGTCAAGTGTTCCTTTCACATATCTAAGAACTCGTTTTGCTGTTCCAAGATGTTTGTTAGTGGGACAACGCATAAACCTTGCAAGAAAACCAGTTGCAAACATAATGTCAGGTCTTGTAGCTATGAGATACAACATACTTCCAACAATCTTCCTATATTGCTCCTCATTTGTTGAACCACTCCCATCATCCTTACTTAATTTTTCAGTTGTAACAAGTGGGATAGACATAGGTTTACACTCACTCATGCCAAATCTGCTTAATAGAGTTTATGCATACTTTCTTTGATGAAGGAAAATGCTTGTTGGTGTTTGAATTACTCTCACCCCTAAGAAGTGGTGCAAGAGTCCCAAATCTGTCATTTCATATTTCTCCATCATATCTCGCTTGAATTCTTCTAACTTTGCTTGATTATTCCCAGTGTAGACTATGTCATCTACATAGATAGACACTATCAAGATGCTTGCTTCACCTCTAGTCTTGACATAAAGAGTAGCCTCACTTTGACTCTTTGTGAAACCACACTCAGCAAAATAACCATCAATTTCACTATACCTAGCTCTTGGCCCCTATTTCAAGCCATATAGAGCTTTGTGTAGCTTGTAAACCTTGCTTTCACTCCCTTTGACCACAAATCCCTCTGGTTGATCTACATACACCTCTTCTTCTAAGATACCATTTAGAAAGGCTGACTTAACATCTAATTGATACAGTTTCCAACTCTTCTGTGCTGCTAGTGCAATTAGAGTTCGGATTGTGTCTAATCTAGCCACTGGTACAAATGTTTCATTGTAGTCCACCCCTGGTTTCTAATAGTACCCTTTAGCTACTAACCTTGCCTTATTCTTCTGCACTGAACCATCCAGGTTTAACTTGGTTTTAAACACCCATTTAACTCCAATTACTGGTTTATCCATAGGTCTGTCAACAAGCTCCCATGTAGCATTCTTCTCTATCATTGACAACTCATCCTTCATTGCCTTTATCCATGACTCATCCTTTACAGCTTCA